TTTTAGTGGAGCGAGGAGCGGTGTTGAGCGGAGCGGCTTAGTGCGAATTAGAGCGGTGGAGCGGGCGGAGCCAACAGCCTCGTGAGCGAGGAGCGGAAATTCTCACCGCTCCGCTCCGCTCACATGCTCTGATTTCAACACAAAATGAACAGGATAAAACAAGAAGAGCATATACTTAGAAGTACATATAAGTTAAAAAAGTTAAAAGTTAAAAAAGCAATGTGTCCTGCCCCGATCATCTGCTCCTTCCGTGTCCCACGCCCCCTTGTTAACCTTGTGTGGAATCCCCGTGTGATCAGCTGTTCCTGGTTGTTGTCATTAGTCCTCTGTATTTAGCCGCGTTTCAGTTTGTTTCCCTATGTCCGTGTTCGTCTGTGTTTTGCCTGCCTTACCTGTAATTAAACCCCGTATTCCCTGATACCCTGACATCTGCGCCTTTGTCTCCGTTCCGTCCCCGCTCGGCATGACAATATTATTATAATTAAACATATTAGTGGTTTGTTATTTATGATATTAAAATAATTAATAAGAAATATTTATTTTTAAATGTATTTTATTATATAATAATTACTGTTACTGTCTATCATTGTCTAAATATATTTTAACTGTCTAAATATATGTATTCAGCTAGTGTACACATGCCCGATGCTATCACAGCGAACGCGAGGCTGACCCCTGATTTACACTGGATGCGTATCCGCTGCGGTGCGTTTCCGACACGGCAGCCGCAGGCAATCGCCGCCAATAAAGTCAATGCATCAGTTTACACCAGTTCCGCTGCGTTGCGTCTCCGCTACGTCTCTGTTCCGTCACACGTCCGGCAGTCCGTCGAGATGCGCATCAAGTCTATTTTTGACGGATACGGATCTAGAACGCAACACAGAGCGCATGCGCCAACTTCCCTTCACATCATGGACAACGAAAAGTTAATCTTGGAGGTGGAAAAACACGGAATTGTGTACGACCCCAGACATCCTTTTTACAAGGATAATAGTGGAAAGGAGAAGGCGTGGAGTTTTGGGATTTGACCGTATGTTGAATCTTCCAATTAACTATGTATATACTTGATTTTTAATTAATGAAAGTAACCTGTACTGTGAAGTGAAACTCCTAATAAAGTTTTCAGTAACCTATATGGGAGTGACACATTATTTTATCCATAGAAACATAGATACATGTTATGTTAAATGTTATTCTCCCGTGGTCATGTGATCTCGCAAACCAGCGGCACGCCGGATCAGATACGGACCACAAACGCATCCAGTGTGAATTGGCGGACGGCCTCGGACGGAGTGGGAACGCAGCGCATTCGCACCACAGCGGATACGCATCCAGTGTAAATCAGGGGTGAGACTGAAGCATTACCCTTTGTTTCTGCTGAGAGATGTGCCGCGTGACTCATTTCCCCGCGCATACAAGTGATCTTAGGTAGGCGTTCTCGGTTCGACTTCTGAGATTCAGATCGAGTTCTAGGTAATCTTTTTTCCAACTGGTTGGTGCAACTTTTAAGAAATTCGAGTTCTAATGAGTTCAAGAACTGAGGTACCACTGTATTGACAATTAATATACAGGGAAACATTTTCTTTCCATAAGCATAAAATACATAAATACAGACATTAAGTTAACTCATTAAAGATAAATGAGTTTTAAATAAAACTATTACATGTAAAAATGTAGTGCAATTTTTGTCTTCCATAAGGGAACAGTCATGCTTAGCCTTCTGGTTGACTAGATGCTGCCCAGCTACACTTGTTATGTTGTTCATCAAGCTGTTTTAGACAGCCTCTGACTGTTAATGCAAGGCTACCTGCACATGTGGACTGAGTAGCACAAAATGGCTGCCCAGCGCCATGGAGCCATCAGGAAAGAGGCGTGGCTGGGATGAGGCTTCGGGCTTGGGATATATATAGCAAGCGCTCCATGTTAGCACTTCTGAGCTGCAGGAAACACTCCCAGTCTCAGCTCAGGTATAAGGACTGCAAGGAAAAGTAGCCCAGCCACACTGTTGAGATCTTCTGCTTTAGGTTTCTTTTGGGGACTCTTTTCCCAAAGTTGTGCCGACGTGACGCTGGATTCACCTCAGAAGGAGAGTGTGGCGTCCTGAAGAAAAACTTTGTACCATCCTGCACCACTGCTGATCACAAGTAAGCTGCACTTTCATAATCAAATGTTAACAGTCAAACTGTAAATGCTTATCTGCTCTTAGGGATGATAACTTACAGACAGCGCTGTGGAAATGGCTCAACGATGTCAGCAGCAATGCATGTTGCTCAGAGCTCCTTTTAGGAGATTGTCAGTTTTCTGCCCTCAAGGTTACTGCACTGCATTCTGCATCAATTTGAGAAAAGCCAAGAATAGCCCCTAATAGCACTAGACTGATGTCCCTGTTGAGCCATGTTGTCTTTTTAAGGGAGTCAGCAGTAAGGCAGTCAGATGCAACACTAGCCTACTGTCACATGGTGCATGTCAGTCAAACTTACTGCTGATTATTTTTGGCTAGGTCATTTTTGTCACATATCCTGCAGTCCTTGCAAATAAGGTTTCAATTAAATTTTCTTGTCTTTCAGTATTTGTTCTCCATCAGTCATAATGTTATTTGTGATGTTCTAGAAATGTCATTATTATAATCAGTTTCTCTCTGTTTAGATTTGAAGCCAGGTCCCCCACCTCTGGGATGGTTCAGATAGATCCAGAAATGTAAAAGCTTTGAACCTCTAGTGAAATGCCTCCATGGGGCACAGTAGGGCTTTGCTGCAGATTTATTCAGATCACAGAGATGCTCTGACTGTAACGGTACCTGTCAGCTTTCAGCAGTGATGCTGCTTACAGGTCACAGTGTCTCATGTACTTTCTGCCATGGCTGAGCTGTGCAGCACTGTACTTCTTGAAATGGATTAATCACGCATTGTCATGGATTATTCGATATAAAATGAATTTAGACCTTGCTTATAATGTGATATTTCTAATGGTTGAGGTCACCCTTGGCACTCGGTTCATACAGTAGTACTGTTAACCGTTACCTGCACCGTAAAACACCAGGGCTCAGATCTCAGGGCACCTTCTGCTGTCATTTATCCGAGTGAAACACTTGTAATCCATAAGCCATGATTCTGATAAAATTCACTATATAGCTACTTTAGATAACAAATGTTATATAAAAAAAAAACAATCAGCCAAGCAAAAATCCTCTATCCAAAATATCAAACATAATCTTTTGAAAATGAGGTCCATGAAAGTTAAATACACAGGTAATTCAAAATTGCATACTTATTAAGACAACTGGCATGACAAATAAATTCTACCTATGTTATTATATAAAATTAGTTGATCAGTAATAAAAGTATTAAAGTCATTAAGAGGATTTCAGGAAAATGTGTGGAAGAATGACGTGCAGGCAATGATGTTGACTGTAGTTTACACACCAGTACAAAAGCAAAACAAAAGGCCCCACTGCCACCTGACATGCAGGCTGCTGTCCAGGAGGCTCTGGTGAAAACAGGTGTTTTAGGTGTCCCTCAGATTCCAAGCTAAAAATACCTCCTGTGGTGGCCTGGGGTGTCCTGTCCAGTACTTGCTATAGTGTCCAGCACACGTTCAAATCCCTGTAGTTCTGTGCTGGAAAGGTAATTACCAGTTGATGGCTTCAATGAAATACACCCCTGTGTAGATGTGGAAAAAATAGTAAAAGTAGTAGAAGTAACAGCCTGAGCTAAATCCTGAAAGTACATCTGAAATGTTTAAGCCTAACTTTTCTACCTATAACTACTGAGAGCTCTGCCAGGTTATTTATAGTGTGATTATGGGAAGGTTATTATGTCATTACGTCTTTTCATTTTTGTCTTTGTGTGTCCTGCTGTGTCTTCTCTGAGTAAGCCCTGTGACATGTCAACAGAAGTTCCCACATTCATACAGCCACTGCAGAACATTGTGGCTCTGGAGGGCACAGCTGCGTCCTTTGAGGCTCATGTCAGTGGTAAGCATCCACGGTAATACTGCAACATAATTTTTCTGAGTTTGATGACTCACAATCCCATAGGCTCACCACGAAAATGCTAGCATACCAGATGGCCAGTCCAGCCCTGCCCTACACACCCTCCCACTACACACCCTTCTGCTATACACCCTGCCCCTAAATACTGTGCCACTGCACATCCTGCCATAATATACTGACACTATTCCTGAGTCTGTCAGCAAAGAAGTGCAGGTACTGCCCAGCCTAACCTTGAAACTGATAATGATAAAATATGAAAATCAGGGATGCACATGGTTAGTGATTAAAGTAAAGTTACCCTTCTTTTACTGTGTTCAGGCATTGCCCATTTCTCTCCAAGCGTCTTGTGCTTCATTATGATCAGTTGTTTCTTACCAAGCTTCCTGTATTTCACTGTGTTAAGTACTTTCTCACCCGGCCTCATGTGTTTCACTGTCTTTAGTCATTTCTCACAAAGTTTTCTGTGCTTCACTGCCTTTAGTCATTTCTCACCAAGCTTCTTGGGCTTCATAGCCTTCAGTCATTTTTCACCAAGCCTCTCTCCTGTGCCACCAGGTACCCCAGTTCCTGAGGTGAGCTGGTTTAGGGATGGCCAGGTCCTCTCTGCCACAGCTCTGCCTGGTGCACAAATCTCATGCAGTGATGGGCACGCCGTGTTGACAATCCCTGATGTGTCAGCCGCACACAGTGGACGCTTTTCTGTGCGAGCCACAAACTGTGTTGGCCAGGCTACTAGCACAGCTGAGCTGGTGGTCACAGGTGAAAAAAGAAAAAAATAATGTATTTGCTTATTTGATGATTATTGCTTATAAAAACTATAATTACACTTAGTGACTTATTGTATTTCCATCTTCAGTTATTTGGTCTAGACCTACAGACTTGCAATTACTGTATTAGGTAGAAATTAACAAGTACTTCTTGCTAAAAGAGCAAAGAGTAAAACTGAAAACATATAGTTGTCATGTAGTTATTTTAGCTCTCATTATTTTTCTGGTTTAACACTGTTTATCTATTACTATGGTTCATAAAGATAGAGCAGCATTTTGGTGGTGTGGAAAGAGTAACCACAGAGAGCCCCTTAACTGTAAGTAGTGTTTTCCGTGTTTATAAATCCCTCTGCAGCAGAAACCATCCCACCCAACTTCATCCAGAAGCTGCAGAGCGTGACGGTCAAACAAGGTAGCCAGGTGACACTGGCGGTACGTGTCACAGGGACCCCTACACCTGTGGTGAAGTTCCTCCACGATGGAAATGAGATTCAGAGCTCTAGGGACTTCTGCCTTTTCCATGACGGAGACCTTTACAGTCTGGTCATTGCTGAGGCTTTCCCAGAAGATTCTGGAATGTTCTCTGTCAGTGCCACCAATAGCAGTGGCCAGGCTACTTGTACAGCGCAGTTACTGGTGCAAGGTCAGGGTCTTTCTCAAACGTTTCTATTATACTTTATATTATATAATTTTGGATATATGCACTGCTGCTGTAAATTCTGCCTTTTGTTGATTACCTTTTTATTCAATTTTATGTGGCTGTTTTTTTCTCAGGTGAAGAAGAAGCCATTCTTTCCAAGCAAACTATCACTGTCATTTCATCTGAGAAGATATTTCAAGAACAGCAAGCTAGTGTTATAAAGGTAAGAAACTGGCAATGTTACCTGGCTAGGAACAGACCAAAATGCATGTTTCTATGAATCAAAGAGTATGTGAAGCCATGGTAACTCTCCAGCACTGCAACAGGCATCTATGTATTACAGGTTGAAGACTCGAAGTCAGAACTGTCCCTGACAGAAGCTGCCTCAAAGCCACCAGCCATTGTAATTGTAGGTACTTTTTCAGTTAGTCAGCAAGTTACTTAGTCTGCTTAGGCTACTTTCACGTTACAAGCCTCAATGTTCTATAATTATGATTCCAGATTTGCCTGTCTTAATGGTTCACATACATAATTACAAGTGACCTGTATCTAACTGTAATGTGAATGCATCTGTGCTCTGGCATGCATGTGCATATTGAAATGTTTTTGCACAAGTCATTTGCATCACCAGCAACAATAAACGTTGTATTTGTGAGACAACTCGTGGTATTAAAAATAACAAAATGGACACACTAATAGCTAATGTATACATCGCATTGTGCTCTGAAGGATGTGTAAACAGTTTGTCAGCTGTACATGATCAGGTTGACAAGACTTTTGCTTTTTGTTGTCACAGCTGTAGCTCTCCTCCATTAATATTTTGCTGTGCTTCTAGTTTTGGCAGATGATGATGATGATGAGTATAGGCAAAAAAACTACATGAATTCTGATCTGACTGTTCTTATTCATCTTGCATGGCCACATATTGGCCATATATAATCACATATGAAAGTGACTCAAATCTAATTTGAAAAGATATGTTTATCCACACAGCCCTGAAAGCATTATCTGTGACACAAAAAAGTCGGATTTGAGTCACTTCAGCCTGGTAATGTGAATGTAGTCTTAATCCAGTTTAACTTTTATCAGAAGTGTGACTGTTGTTACTCAGGGCTTGAACGACACCACCATCACCGAAGGAGAATCTGTGACTCTGGAATGCCAGATTTCTGGCTGCCCCATTCCCAGTGTGGTGTGGTTCCGCGAGGAGTATGAGATCAAGAGCTCCTCTGACTTCTACCTTTTATATGAAAATGGATGTGCCCGCCTGGTGATCCGTGAGGCCTTCGCTGAGGACAGCGGCCACTTCACCTGCACTGCAAGCAGCCAAACCGGCTCTGTGAGCACCTCCTGCTTCCTCACTGTCAAGGGTACAAAGTTTTTTTTCTTATGTGTCCTGGTTTGTGTCTGTGTGTGTCTAGCCAAAACAAATATATAAGCAAATTTGAGTGATATTACACATTTTACAAATATTTGTGTTCAGTGGTCAATAACAGTGATGGACTCAGGTTGTTTGAAGGGCAGGGGTATACCTCTGCCCCACAGTAGTTTGAATGGAACAGAATAGAACTCTGTGAAGTCTTTTCTGGTGGCAGGAGTGTCAATCCTGCCACCAACCCCCAAATTTTCCCTGAAATTTGGAGGACCTTCTTGCAGGGCTGCATGTAGGTTAGGACAAAGCATTTGCATGTTAAGGGCCTTGCTTAAGGGCTCAAAGGAGTAGAATCACTCCTGGCATTCACATCAACCTTCCAAGTGCTGCCACAGATCCCTAGCCTCAGAGCCAACACTCTGCCCATAGGAACACCTGCAGGGCACATTATTTCTTTTGTTTTTCTCACATGTACAGGAATCTGCAACTCATAGTGGGGTACCATCTCTCATTTTTTTCACTGAAAGTGCACCATGTTTTCTCACTTGGAAGGGCACTCTAGAGGGCACTTTATGAGTTTTTTCCACCTGAAGAGCACCCATAGGGCACCTCAAGTTTCAAGCACCTTAAAAGGCACTACATCACACTTTCTGCCCTGGAGGGACATCCATTAGGATGATTCCCCACATTGTCACACAGGGATGGAGCACTGCATTGCATTTTATCCACTGGAGCGGCACCCATTTGTGCACTACATCATATTTTCTCACTGTGCAGGAGTCCTCTTTACAGCATTGCATCCCATTTTCTCTTTTGGAAAGGGCACCCTTTGGGACACTTAATCATGTAGGGATGGCCTGGAGGGAACTTCATAATGGCACCCTTTACTATTGAAAGGGTACCCATAGGGACTGCTTAGACCAGGGGTGGCCAATCTTATCCAGAAAGAGCCATACTGTATGCAGATTTTCGCTGTGACTCTCCAATTAGATTACTATTAATTAGAAGACTGATTGACTAAAGAGTCCTCACAACTGGGTTTGAACAGCCAACCTAAAGATTATCCCAAAAACCTGCATGCACTCTAGTCCTTTGCAGATAAGATTGCCCACCACTGGTTTAGACCATTGTAAGAGCACCTTATAGGGCACTGCAACACATTTTCTCCACTAGAAGGGCATTTCAGAACGGCACCCTTTTCCATTGGAAGTGCACCCACAGGGACCATTGTAAGGGCACCTTGTGTAGTACTGTCTCACATTTCCGGCACTAGAAGGGCACTTCATAACGGCACCCTTTTCCATTGGAAGGGTACCCACAGGGACTATTATAAGGGCACCACACAGGGCACAGCATCATTTTCTCTGCCAGAAGGGCACTCATTTAGATACTTCATCACATTTTCTTGAGCTATAGGGCACATGATCACACCCTAGAGTGCACTAAATTATATGAAGGGCAGCCAATTTTTGCCACTATAAAGGACACTTTAGTGACAGTTTTTCAGGTATTGGGGTACCGGTGATCCACACTCCTCCCCATTCCACCAGTGGTCCATAAGATATAAAACTTTTATGTCATACTTTGAGATTCTATGTAAAAAATACCATGAAATGCATCCATCCATTGATCACCTAAAACCACTTATCCAGCGCAATATAAAGAACTGAAATAATTCTTACTAAATCAGCATGTTTCCTTTGCAGCATCAGAGGAGGCTGAGATCAAAGAAGCCATGGGTAATACCAGTGTCTCTAAGCACATTGAGACTGAAGAGATGCAGTAAGCACAGCATGCTAATTGGAACTAAAGCCTATCTGCAAATGTCTAGCTGACTTCTATCGTGCCACCAACAATATTTGTAACGTGCTATCAAGCTTGTATGTCACTTTGGATAAAAGTGTCTACTAAATAAGTAAAATATTAGTGAAATTTAATACAGCAGAGATACCATAGGCACAGCATGCTAATTGGAGCCATAGCAGAGATACACTAAGCACAGCATGCTAGCGGCTGCTGATATGAGCTACAGAAAACATAAACTAAGCAAAGCATGCTAAAACTATTCAACGCTGTACATTAAATTTAGTTTAAATGACTTCTTAGCGTTACCATGGAGGCCAAAACTCATGCCATATCTGAGGTGAATGGATTGGTGGAGTCAGAGGAGGGCATGGCCCCATTCTTTGTGACAAAGCCATCCGTGCAGAGGTTGGTGGAGGGCAGAGCCGTGGACTTTGAGTGCCAAATTGGTGGTAGCCCACAGCCCCATATTTACTGGAAGAAAGCTGGAGTACCCCTGAGCAATGGATTCAGGTATGCTCGTTGTCTAGCTGCAGATTCTTTAACACTTTATAGTAAGGGATGTTTAGCTGTACCAGGCTCATTTTTGTCCCTTTAGGCATAAAATTCTCCATGAGAAAGAGTCCGGGTTATGCAGGCTGCAGATTTCCATGATGCTTGCTGACGATGCTGGACACTATGTCATCACAGCCCGGAACCGGTTTGGAGAGGCCTCTGCCTCAGCCATCCTGCTCAAGGAAGGTCTGTCACACCAAACAAATACTAACATATTTTCACATCATTTTGGGTTCAATCACACCAAAGGGAGTAACCAAATGTCATGAGTGATGTTAGTAGGGATCTGTGCATTGATACAGTTTGATGCTAACATGATAACATGGGTCACTGTCCCATCGTACAGAGGAATATGAAGCGCTCAGCAGGCAACACAGGCTGATCTCTGGAGGGCAGGCGGTGAGCCTTGTGTATGAAACCAAAGGGAGGGAAACCACCCCCATGGTCATGGGGGAGGTCCAGAAGAGGCAAGTTCTCATGCAGAAGAGGACAGTTCAGCAGACACAGGTGACGGCGAGCAGTAATTTGGAGCAGGTGCAGAGACATTCTGCGCTCTATTTTGATGATCTAATGCAAAGTGTAAAGTGCAAAGCGCAACTAACATTTATGGGTATGTCTAAATCAATTTCACTATTTTGACGGTGGAAAAAAACATGCTTTGCACAAGCACAAGGGGCAAAATGGTTATCCTAATGCTCTTAAGTATTCAGAGGCGTGTTTTGGCCGTAACCTGCAATGAACCACTCTGAATGGTGCGTCACCTCACCTTTAAAAGGCAATAGTGCATAATCTGTGGTGGATTGCTATTACAAAGGCACATTTGCCCAGCAAGCCAAATCGCTTTTTGCCTGAGGAAATAGTTTATTATTGGTTTATTATTAATAAACCAAGAGAATATAAAACTAACAAGTAAAGTCATTTGCAATCCCTAAAACATTCCTCATTGACAGGAATTCCACATCTCTGCTTTTGAAGAGAGGATAATCCAGGAGATTGAGCTAGGTATCCTTCAAAGCAACTATCAAGAGCTGGTGACTGAGGATGGAGAGGAGATGGTGATGAATGTGTCCGAGCAAGAGGCCATGAAACCCACCCTTGACATGCCAGTGAAGAGCCAAAGGATGGTGGAAGGAACAAGGGTCACCTTCCAGTGCATAGTAGCTGGATCTCCTCTGCCCAAGGTGACCTGCATGCAAGGGCATAACCATGGTATAGACATTAAGGGGTTCCAAATGAGAGCCTTCCCCCAGATTTTTTTTAAAGTGCACTTCCCACAGTCCTACCATGGATGTGCAGTCAGGGGAGGCAGAAAATTGCTTTTATGAAAAGTAAAAGGCTACTTATAAATGTCAAAGACTGGCCTTGATGATCGTTTTAATCTGATACATTGAATATTCTGGTTTTATTACTAGTTTTATTTACTTTAAAGTTAATTTTAATGATACATAGTCCTTTCACGCCGCTTTATTCCAAGTGGGCTGTTGGTGGCATCTGCAAGATTTTTATATAATCTTGCTAGTCAACTTGCTAGTCTTAGGCCAAAACTCCATAATACTACTTTAATGTTATCATGCTTTAGCTATCATGATTTAGCTAGCTATGTAGTAAGTGTATGAAGAATCGTGCATAATGTACAGTAGTAAAAATTACCTGAAATACAAGCTATTGCCTTATATTGCCTTATAATCACTTGTACACAGCAAATACGCAGTGTTAAATTAACAATGCATGGTGTTTAGGAACAATCAGAGCCGAGTTGACATAAAGTTTACATAAAAAGAGAAAAGGCCATGTTGGTCAGACTTTTTCTCATTATGGTGGGTTAATCAAACACAGCAGCTGGATGCCCAAATGAGTTAAAATTAGTTCATATTAAAATGGGGCAGATATGGGCCACCCATCTTGTACCTGGGTGCCACCCATATGGGCTTTCGATCTGGGTAGAGGTTGAGTCACAGTGATTTAACAATATGATGTCAATTGAATACTGTAAGAGCTAATAAAGTTTAACATTATAAAAACAATACTCATTGCACTCTGTAAAAGTGTTAAATGTAACACTGATTGGTACGGGCACATGACCACCTTACAGTGTTAATTTAACACTGGCACATTTGCTGTGTATGTCTGGCTTTCTCTGCTTTTTAACTTAATCTTACTATCTTATCATTAAGATAATTATTATCTTATTATAGCTTCATTTCTCACCTCCACTGACTGACCAAATTGTAAAACCTGCCAGATTACCACCACAGCACAGAAAGATGTGCTAGTTGCAGAGAACTGTACAGATTTGGCAGGGGGGGGGGGGCGGTGACACACTTCTGTTTTCCTTAACAAAAAGAGATAAATTGAAAATACATAAGAATTTAAAAAGAGCAGATTTGTTGAGAGGGTTCCTATAAAATACTCATTGGACAGATTGGTATTTTCTCAGTATTGGGGGGGGCTTGACCCCCCCCCCACATTGAATACGTGGTTCTGCCTATGAGAACCACATCAGTTTTCAGGTTGTGTTAGCATGTTGTGTTCCTGGACAGAAACCTGGTGTAATGCATTGACCTTTCTTCGTTCATCTTTGGGTGCTTTTCAAAAAGATTGCCTGGTACAAAGATGGCAGGCGCATTCGTCATAGTGACCACTACCAGACTGAGGTTCTGCAGGATGGAATAGTCAGCCTCCATCTCCCTGTGGTACTACCTGAAGATGAGGGCATCTACACAGTGCTGGCGTCCAATGTGAATGGAAATGCCATCAGCTCCGGGAAGCTCCAGGTGGAGCTCAGCGCAGCAAGTGTGGCTCGGCCATTTGCCCCTCAGGCAGCAGCTGTCAAGCCAGTCTGGTGTGTCATTTAAATATTACCATGAATATATTCTGTAAAGTGTGTTGCGATTGCTAATGATTTCTAAGAGCTATTCATATCCCCATTGTAGCTGAGATGGCTTAGTCTCGTTGTAAGTCCTCTGCGTCTCTGCAGCTCCACATCTCCTCCTCCTGTGAGCCGCTCCTCTGAATATATACTGGAGGAGAACAATGAGGGTGAGATGGAGAGGATGTACCGGCCCATATTTGTCATGAAGCCTTCCTCCCTCCGGTGTACCGAGGGACAGACTGCGAGGTTTGATGTAAAAGTTGTGGGTAGCCCTATGCCAGAGACCTTCTGGTTTCACAATGGTAAGGGATGCTCCATGTTTTCATCTTTGATAGCTTCCATTGTTGCTTACCCATGCATTCATAGAAGGCCTAATGTTTTTGTGTGTGTGTTAAAGCAGTGTAAGCCACTTGAGTGTGTTCCTCCAGAAGTTTGTTATGAATCTAAAAGCATGTATACAGAACAAGGTAGCAAAGCACTTTTGTGTGACTTTTATACTTCAAAAAAATCAATGTGAGCATACAAAAGGCCTGAACTGTCTCTCCCAGGGAAGCCAGTGTGCAACGACTACACACACAAGATGGTAGTAAAGGAAGACAGTGTTCAGTCACTGATTGTGGTTCCAGCTCTTCCTGAGGACTCCGGGGAATGGTCTGTCATAGCCAAGAACAGATTTGGTCAAAGCTCAATCACCATGAGTCTCACCGTGGAGGGTACCATACCGCTATTTAAACTTCAGCCTACATAGCTATTGGGCTATAGCTATGGGAGCCAGTTAGTGCTTATGCATAATTTGTTTCAACATTATTATTTTTTTTTATTGCTCTCTTTTGCAGCTAAAGAAATTATTTCGCAACCTCGGTTTGTTGAGAAGCTGAAGAACATCAGTGTCAAGGATGGTGCATCCATCGAGTTTTCCATTAAAGCTACTGGAAACCCTTTACCTGACATTGCTTGGCTTAAAAACAGTGACATAATTTCCACTTACAAGTACCCAAATTTCAGGTAACAGGTATCAATACAGTAAGAAAATGTAATGTCAACATATTTGCTGCTGAAACAGTAATTTTCATCGAGGACTTCGTTCACAATCGTAATATATGTAGATATTTCAGGTTTTCACAGAATAAGTTTACACTTGTATATGTTCTTTATTACACGTTTAGGATTGAAGGCACAAAAGGAGAATCTAAATTTATGATCAGCCCGACCACGGCCCTGGACAGTGCCTGGTACACAGCTATTGCTGTCAGCAAAGCAGGACGGGACACCACCCGTTTCAAGGTTAACGTGAAGGTGGAGTTCAGTCAGCCCACACCTGAAAAGAGGCTCATCATCCCGAAGGGTACCTATAAGGCAAAGGAGATAGCCCCTCCAGAGCTGGAGCCTCTGCCTATTCGCTATGGACAAGAGCAATGGGAGGAGGGAGACCTGTATGACATGAAGAAGCAGCAGAAGCCTCACTTCAAAAAGAAGCTGTCATCGGTTCGGCTGAAGCACTTTGGTCCTGTGCACTTTGACTGCAGGTTAATCCCCATCGGCGACCCCAATATGACGGTGGAATGGCTGCATGATGGCCAGCCTCTTGCAGCAGCAAACAGGCTGCGCATGACCAATGAGTTTGGCTACTGCAGCCTTGACTATGAAGTGGCTTATTCTAGGGATAGTGGCATCATCACCTGCAAGGCTTCAAATAATTATGGAGCAGACCACACCTCTGCCACCTTGATTGTGAAGGATGAGAAGGGTCTTGTGGAGGAAACTCAGTTCCCAGAGGGCATAAAGGGAAAGCATAGGATTGAGGAAATTGAGCGTGTTTCCCATGAGGGTCCCAGTGGTGTCACTGATGATGAGGTATCAGAGAAAGCTAAACCTGAGATTGTACTTCTCCCAGAGCCAGCAGTGGTGCTGGAAGGAGACACGGCCAGGTTCCGCTGCAGAGTGACTGGTTACCCAGTCCCAAAGGTAAACTGGTACCTCAACAAGCAGCTTATTCGTAAGAGCAAAAGATTTAGGCTCCGCTATGATGGTATTTACTACTTTGAGATTTCTGATTGCAAGTCTTATGATGCTGGAGAGGTTAAAGTAATGGCTGAGAATCCTGTGGGTGTAGTAGAGTACTGTGTGAAACTGGAAATCAACCAAAGAAAGGACTTCAGGTCCATCCTCCGTCGAGCCCCTGAGCTGAAGAGTCCTGAAACTGGTCCCACCCCCGAGCAAGGTGGGCTTCCCTTCACAGTCATCAAAATTGAGGAGCCCCCTGAAACAACCCAGACAAAAGAAACTGTCAAACTGAAGAAGACTGAGCGAGTCATCCATGAGATCACCACAGAAGAAACGGAAGAGCTGAAAAACAAATTTAAGCGCAGAACAGAAGAAGGCTATTATGAAGCTATTTCTGCCTTAGAGCTTAAATCACATAAAAAAGATGAATCCTACGAAGACATGCTGAAGAAGAGAAAAGGAGAACTTCTTCACCGGACCAAAGAAGTGTCTGACAAAGATAAGGTAGAGGAGCAAGACACAAGGACAGTTTCAGTTACCAGAACAGAAAAGGTACTGTTAGATCCCAGCATGAAGGCTCCCAAAATTGTGGATCGCATCCAGAGCCAAACTGTTTCCGAGGGAGAAGAAGCTCACTTCAGAGTTATAGTAGATGGGGAACCGGCCCCTGACTGCCAGTGGTACAAGAATGGGATAGTGCTGGAGAAATCTGAGCGCATTAACTGGTACTGGCCAGAAGACAAGGTGTGTGAGTTAGTAATTAAAGAAGTTTCAGCTGCTGACTCTGCAAGTATCATGGTTAAAGCAGTCAACATCGCTGGGGAGACTTCAAGCCACACGTTCCTGCTTGTGCAAGGTAAAACACTGTGTGAGCATTTCTCCGAGCTGGTTGCAGCACGGGCTCCTAGTGCTTACATATTCGTACATGACACAGAGAGAGCGTGCAAACTCCACACACACGAGGATGAGGTGGGATTCAAATCCTCAACCTTGGTAACATGATGCAGTAGATCCCACTGAGCCACTATGTCACCCCTAGCTTAAACCACTCAGTGCTGAATCAATAATACTACCCATTATGGGTTTCAAAACTCCATGTTTAACAGAAGCTTTGTTAATCTGTAACATGCCACTAATTAGGTGCAGAGGTCACTTTGCCCTAGTACTTAGTACTCGTGCTTAGTGCTGCATGTCAGCCAGTGGCTGGAGAAACATAGAGGCTGTGAACTGGACGAAACAGTTGTCATCTTACTGAGTGACAAGGAGCTCTATGTTGACAACCTAATGCAAAACATAGAGTGCAATGCGCGACGAACATTTACGGTAGCGTCCAAATCCATTTAGCTAATTTGACATCAGAAAAAACAGACTTTGTGCCAGCAAACCAGAATGGCATGTCACCTAACCTTTAAAAGGCAGTGGCGCATGGTCTACACCTGATTGCTATTACAATGGCATGTTTACCTGGCAAGCCAGAATGCTGTTCACCCGAGGAAACAGACGTTTGTACGCGAGGTAAAAAAACATGAGCACATCATCTACGGGAGCACCAACATTCCACTAAAGCCTTTTGAGGTGAAGCAGGCATGGGATGAGGTAGCAGCAAGTGTGTCCTCATTTTTGGCATCACCAGATTATCTGCGCAGTGCCAAAAGTGACATAATGATATCAGAAGACCGGGAAAAAAGAAACTCACTGTTGTACGGTACAGAGACTTAATTAGGCTTGTGTGTATTTTTATTTTGATTTTGTTTGGGTCTGCAGTTTGCAAGACATTAATAAAAGTGCAATCTTTGTTCAAACAAAACACTACCTAGAGTTTTTAGGTGTTTTAAAATGTTCAAATAAAAGGTAATAGGGCTGCTATTTTTCTACATCTTACAATTTAGATTCTTTACCAGGCTGCAGATGATTCAGCTCTTCTGCTAGCTGATCCCTCTTTGCCTGTGCTGCTGCCAAGGTACACTCCTTTGATGGCATTGGTACATGGAGTTCAGCATCATGCCTTCTAAAGTCCTCATTTATGTCCAATAGACATCCATCACACATACTGTAGCAATGTTATGCAACATACAACATGCCACAAAGAATACTGCAATCCTCTTATGGCTGTATTGTAATGTTTCACCTTACTTATCTAAATATCTGAAATGCATTTTCAGCAATCCACATGTCCTTTCAGTTACAGTTCGTGGTATATTCTAATGAGGAACCTGATAGAGTTTTGAATGATACGGTTTGTTCTTTATTTAATATATACTGCTTTTCTTTTAGTGTTTCACTGAACGGTATGATCACATGAAGGGACCAGATGTAGTGTACAATAAAATGTATATAAATGAAATAAAATAAAGCAAACAACCCATTAGTGCACCTCGAGCATATACCCGTGTCAATAACAAACGTTGTGCACCCACACATTTCTAAAATGCACTGCTTAAATACCGATTAATACTGCAGCACTGACTTTAGACATGGTATTTGTTGGTTAAATGTCATTAAGTTGCTTTAAAATAGCAATGTGCTGACAATGCACCTAGCCATGCCTTATTTAAAAAAACACCACTCCTTCAAGAGAGCAACGGCCTTAAAATCATTTGGTATTTTAATGATATGCGCACATGGCGTGAAAATAAGCAATGCGCTGGTAAGAAACTAGCAAAACCACTCTGCGTCATGCTTTGCGACAGTGGAAAATAGGTCCCTAGGAGTCTATGTTGTCATGAAAGTGTCAGGCAGAGCTGTATTTGGCTACTGTAGCATGAGGTAAATGTGTGCAATTCAGCAACATAACAAGAAGTGAATTACACACAAGCAAAATTTTAAATTGATTTGTCTTTTTTTCTTATTTCACACAAAAGCCAAACATGTCATTACATTCACTCAACAACTAGAAGATGCCACTGCCAAAGAGAAGGATACAATGGTGACCTTTGAGTGTGAAACCAGCGAGCCATTTGTCAAAGTGAAGTGGCTGAATGGCAATGAAGAGATCTTCCCTAGTAACAAATACCGGATGCACTCTGACCGGAAGGTGCACTTCCTCTCTGTGCTCAGCATTCACACCAGTGACACTGCAGAGTACAGCTGTGCTGTGGCTGATGCTGACCACATCAGAACTTCTGCCTGGCTCACTGTCGAGGGTAATTCAAGTCAAAATTTATTACACTATTGCAATCATGTGCTTTCCATTTTCACAAGCAATATAACTTTCCTTTTTGTTTGGTGCTTTTGTGCAGGTTCCCCACTGGATATTTTGAAGAATCTGGATAATTTAGAAATTCCAGAATCTTACACAGCAACCTTTGAGTGTGAGATGTCACGTGAAGATGTAGAGGGCACCTGGTACTTTGATGACATGGAGATCTCCCCCAGCACCAAATACATCATATCCTCTCGGCGTGGGAGGTACAGCCTCTCAGTCAAAGATGTGAGGAGGGAGGACCAGGGGGAGTACACGTTTGTTGTGGGTGAACTGATGACAACTGGCAAGCTGAAGATGAAATGTGAGTTTTCTCCAATTTATAAGAGGAAGAAGAGATAATGAGAAGGATTGCAGCACTAAGATAATCACTACTGCACCTAAAAGAAAATCTGTCATCGTGTTTTTACAATGATGACAACTAGTTAATCTAGACAGCAGCACTGAATATTGCTCTATGGTGAATGTGAACAAGAAACTCTCTTTACTTTCGTCCAATTAGTGCGTCCTGTGACACTTATGCAAGGCCTCTCAGATCTAACCATCTGTGAAGGTGACAATGCTGAATTGGAAGTGAAGCTCTCTCAAGAGAACATTAAGGGCACCTGGTTGAAGAATGGCCAAGCCATTGATACCACTGGCCATGTCCGCTTGGTGACTGACAAGCTCACTCTCAAGCTTGTCATCGAAGCGGCTGACAGGGATGACAGTGGAATATATTCCTTTACTGTTTCTGACCAGGATATCTCCACCTCTGCAAGACTGACTGTTCAGAGTGAGCACTTAACTTTATTGCTAACTGTGTTTCAGTTCAAGTATGATTCATTAATAAGGAAACTGATATTTATTTTGTACTGATATTTAATGTCATGCAGCAATCAGCATCTTGACCCCACTAGAGGACGTGGCCACAGTTGAGGGCACCAAGGCTGTTCTGGAGGCTAAAATCTCTGCTGCTGATGTTAGCTTTGTGAAATGGTATCATGACGGTGAGCTGGTAATGCCTAGTGAGAGAGTGCAATGGATTGCCAAGGGGTCCAAGCAGCGTCTAGTCTTCAGCAGGACGTTTGCCTCTGATGAAGGTCATTACAGACTGGCTGTAGGAAACACTGGAAGCGAGTGTCACCTGACTATTGAAAGTAAGACAAATACAGCATCTTATTATTGCCATTCGACTGAGCTGTGGACATGATCGTCTTTAACTTTCTTTTTAAAGACATAGACATCTTGAGGTCGATGGAGGACCAAGTGTGTGCAGAAACCCAAAATGTCACCTTTGAGGTGGAGCTGTCTCATCCAGGCATTGATGCTGTGTGGACCTTCAATAACCAGCAGCTTAAAGCTGGTGCAAAATACAAAATAGAATCTGCTGGCCAGAGCTACACCCTAACAATTGTGATGGCCATGAAAGATGAGGAAGGGGTGTACATGTTTGCTGCGGGTGAACAGACGTGCAGTGCAAGACTTACTGTTTCTGGTGAGATCAATGCCTGGTCTGTATAGATTAGTTTGACAAAAATGAAATAATGATGAGTAGCATAGCATGTCTTCCCCCATCTTAGGCGGTGCTATTAAGAGGCCTCTTCAGGATGTGGTGGTTGCAGAGTCCCAGTTGGCTGAGCTGGAGTGTGAGGTGGCCAACCCCAGCGCCGAAGGCCTGTGGCTGAAGGATGGCCAGCACGTGTTCTTCAGTGACAACATACGGAGTCAGGATGTTGGGGAACTCAGGCGCCTTGTCATCATCATCACTAGGCCTCAGGACGTTGGGGAATACACCTACCAGCTGGGCAACTCCAAAACAACCGCTCACCTCAAAGTCGAAGGTACCCACCAGCTAATGCTATATATCTACAGTTTGGCTGTCTATATTTTTGTCTTTCCTTACTGATGACATTCATTCATTTTCGTCAAAGCTGTGAAGATCAAGAAGACTCTCAAGAACCAGGCGGTGCTTGAGACCCAGGATGCAGTATTTGGTCTAGAGCTCAGTCACGAGGACATGAAAGGTTCCCTGTGGACCAAAAATGGAGTGGAGATTCAGCCCAGTGACAAGTTTGATATGAGGATAGATGGTGCAGTCCATACCCTGGTGATCAAGAGCTGTACGACACAAGATGAGGCAGTCTATGGATTAAAACTCGGAAAGCTCTTTGCAAATGCCAGACTTAGTGTTGAGAGTAAGTTTAATGTGTTCATGTGTATTTGTGAATGCAGTACAGGATAATTTTAAAACTTCCCCAGCTTTCCTCCAAGAAAGGAGGATTCACAGCTTGTTTATCTCTAATTTAGTGGTAAAGATTCTGAAGAAGCCTAAGGACGTGACAGCTCTGAAGGGTGGCACTGCATCCTTTGAGCTGGGCCTCTCGCACAACGACATCCCTGTGAAATGGATGTTCAACAATGTTGAGCTAATGCCCAGTGAGAAATGTACCATCCTGTATGAGAAGAAGGTCCATAAGCTGGTCATTAATGTTGTGGATTCCCATGATGCTGGGGAGTACACCGCTGTGGTGGGCCATCTCTACTGCAACGCTTCGCTCAGCATTGACAGTACGCACACATCTTACATTACTTAAAATTATCTTCCTATCATTCACTTTTTTAACAATATTTTTGTGTATATTTCCCAGTCTTAAGTATAACAAAAGCCATGAAGAACATTGAGGTGGCTGAGAGCAAGACAGCCATTTTTGAGTGTGAAGTATCGCATGTTAACATGCCATTCGCATGGCTGAAGGCAGACATGGAGATTGAGCCTAGTGAGAAATATGGGATTGGTGTGCAGGATAAGGTCTACCAACTCAAGATCATGAATATTAGCCAAGAAGATGCAGGAGAGTACACCTTCTTCTATGGAGAAGACTGTTTGGTCTCAGCTACTTTGACGGTTACCCGTAAGTCATCATGCTTATGTTGGACAACTATTTCTTTAGCTTGTCTTCCAGAATTTTCCATGATTCTGTCACACTGCACTTATTACACTACACTAAACCAGTAGAGTGACTATTCATGTATTGACTGATGCAGGGGTAGGGAGCCTGATCCATGGAGAGCCGGTGTGGGTGCAGGTTTTTGGGATAACCTCTCAATCAGCCTATAACAGGGGGTCCCCAGGACTGGAGTTGAGAACCACTGCTTTATTATTGACTGATTGAGAGAACCCACACCAACTCTCCATGCCTCAGGTTTCCTACCCCTAGACTAATGGAACCATCAAGCACCACAAATATATGACTTGTATGTAAAATACTCAAAGGATCATTTAAGTTTTGCTTTGCTCTAATTACTCCATAACTAGTACTGTATATCCATCTAAAAACACACTTATGGTACAAGTGTACAAATTCAGAAATATATCAATATAAATGCACAACTCGGTATATTTTCTTGCCAATACTAAAACAGCAGTATACTTCCTTTCAGGGAAAACAAAGGACAGGACATCCAAAGCTCAGGGGTACGTCTGGACAGCAAGCTCAGGAGTGAATCAGGCATAAAAAGAGAACATGCTATTGGTTAATAGGCCCCTTTGATTCCACACACTGCATGGCTCCATGAGGGGGGTCTCAATAGTAGTACTTCTCTGGGCATGCTGATGCTTGGTGTGGATTGCGGCTTGCTAAAAGCTACAGGAGGTTCCCTGGTGCTTATGAGATATCAATTAATTAGTGCCCCATCATTATTATTTTTATTTTCATGCTCATCTGGTGCATATGGCTCTTTGTGCTTTTCACGGTCATTTGGTGCTTGCGGCTCCTGAGAACGTCAGATATGAAGCAGTCAGTCTGAGAATCAAACAACAGATTTGGTTGCATTCTGTGTTTCTGCAGAGTAAGTCATATTATCCTTCCTGTTTTTTAACAGCAAGGAAAGTGTGGCAGAATGCTGAAGACAGAACTGGAAGGAAGGTAGCAATGTTTTTTTCCTTATTATGAGCAGGTCTATATAGCTATTATATATACACTGAGGAACCATCTAAGCACAAACATATCAAATAATTTTTAATCAAATACAAGGAATATACTTGTATGGCCTGAATTATCTTCATGTGGGTTTAAGATGAACAGTAATAGTTACATTTTAAAATTCTAATTCCCCACCTGCCTTTTTTGCCAAGTGGATACTTTACTGAATGTGTATTTTCTTTTTATTCTCCAGATTTTTTTAAGATGGGCCAGAATCAGTAGATACCATACAAAAACAACGTGTCTTTTCAGACTCTGAAGGCTGCTTAAATGTAGTTTCTCCTGTTTACTATCCAAGCTGATGGTCATGGCCTGAAAACATTAAACTTCTTTTTCTGAAAAGATTAAACTCTACTAGCTTTTCTTCCACCAGCAAGTTTCATAGCTTCATTATAATCCACAGGGTAGTAAGACACAGTAAAAGAAACACATGCTTGCATGTCAGTTTTATTGATTGAGAGTATTTCAAACAGCTAACTATCTATTAAAACTGATTCCATAGCCTCACATTGGGGGTTTTCGGAAGTATAAGATACCAATATGCAAACTTGTGATCCATTTATTCATTCTGCAAGAGCTGCAAAAAACACTCATTTGGAGTCTTTGTTGGATCAAATTGAGTTGGTTTTCAGTGTGCATCCTTCAAATACTTTGAGTGAAAAAGTCCATTGAACCCATAAGTAACCATTAGAGCTGAGTCAGTGCCTGCCTGAACTGTCGGAATGAAACATCTGGAGGATCAAAGTAGAAGAAGGGAAGAGGAACAGGATAATCACAGCCTACGGCCCACCTTTCTACTGTGCCTTATGGTACTTTGACCTGCAGTCCATGGGTCTCATTTATAAAACAGTGCGTAGAACTCATAGTAAAAGTATATGTATGCATGTAAGCCAAAGATGGCGTGCCCAAAAAAAAAAAGGTAGATTTGTAAAACTGTGCATATGTACACTTCCAAGCAATGTTCTCTTTATATATCACACCTTACCTCAAATTGTGTGCACATGGATCAGCCTCATATTCCACCCTCTACAGGCCCACATCCAACCATAAATGGTCAATGCAAACATAATATGAATATGAATATAATATGAACATAATGAATAATGATGTGTATAAATTAAGCCAAATGTTTACTTATCATAGGAAATGCAAGAAAATAAACATTTCTGAAACAGAAATCGAGGAACTTGTGGGTGAAGTGGAGACTAGAAAAACCATTTAGTTTGATGGTCGCAGCAGTGGGGTGACAAACAAAAAAAATGCAGCGAGTGGAAACACATTGCAGATCCTATTATTGCTGTGAACGCAACAAACAGGACAGTACATCCATTATGCAGCATTCTGCATATGTGTGGCCACAGTATTTATGTTTCCAGCAATCAGACTTATTGCTTCACACTTTGCCTAAATGATCGTGATAATCCAGTCATGCCAACTACTAATAAAAAAATTAAAAGAAACACTTTGAAAACACATCAGATCTCAATGAGAAAAAATCATGCTGGATATCTATACTGAAATGGATTGGGTAATGTGTTAGAAATGAAAGGATGCCACATTGTTTGATTGAAATAAAAATTATCAACCTAGAGAGGGCTTATTTCAAAGACACCCCAAAAATGAAAGTGAAAAAATGATGCAGCAAGCTAGTCAATTTTGCTCCATGGATATGCACAGTGTCACGCCCCGTCCGCTCCCGATGTGTGCCACGCCCACCTCATTACCTCCTGTTTCGCCCTGATTGTTCTCACCTGTGGCTCGTTATCTGTGGCTTGTCTTTTTTATTTTGTCCTCGTCTGAGTCAGTCTTCCCCAGACTCGTCATTAATGTTACTTGTCGTGATTCCCCGGTCCCAGTCCTTGGAATAAATCCCCATTTTACCCTGCTTCCTGGCTCCGATCGCCTGCTTTCTGGCTCGCTTGCCCCGGGATCGTGACACACAGGGCCCACTAGAGGACGTCAGGCCCTCAGGCCACCCTCATGAAGTCCGTTTCTGATTGTTTGGTCAGAGACATTCACACCAGAGGCCTGCTGCAGGTCATTTTGCAGGGCTCTGGCAGTGCTCATCCTGTTCCTCCTTGCAAAAGGAGCAGATACTGGTCCTGCTGATGGGTTAACAACCTTCTACAGCCCTGTCCAGCTCTCCTAGAGTAACTACCTGTCTCCTGGAATCTCCTCCATGCACTTGAGACTGTGCTGGGAGACACAGCAAGCTTTATGGCAATGGCACGTATTGATGCGCCATCCAGGATGAGTTGACTACCAGTCACAAAATAACCACACCACCAGATGGTTAGATGAGGGGTTGCACTTGGGTAGAGCATGCATGATGAGGTAGGACATAATACAAAAGTACGCTGCTAAAATCACAGTGTTTTGTTTACTGCACATCATAAGTGTTTGCTTTTCACTTACGGCTTAGTTTCTACCACAGTCACATAGCCATAATGTGACATACACAATTGAGTCTTTTGCCTTTCCTTGAATCTGTACCTCCTGCACGGTAAAGTCCGGTATGACTGTTTCAGACATACAGCTCCTCCGGGTAATGTCTCAAAAAGTTCTGAGTGGTACTGCATGTCTGAAAGGGGCTTTATGCAGTGCTTAAAAAAAATAAAGGAACACTTTCAGAGTATAGCATAAAGTCAATTAAACTTCTGGTCAGTTAAGTAGCAGAGGGGGTTGTTAATCAGTTATGTCTACTTTGGTGTAAATTAAATTAACAACAGGTGCACTAGAGGGGCAGCAATGAGAGGGCCCCCACAACTAGAATGGTTAAACAGGTGGAGGCCACTGACATTTTTCCCTCCTCATCTTTTCTGACTGTTTTTTCACTAGTTTTGAATTTGGCCATGGTCATTGTCACTACTGGTAGCATGAGGCAATACCTGGAGCCCACAGAGGTTGCACAGGTAGTCCAACAGGATGCCACATCAATACGTGCCATTTCTAAAAGGCTTGCTGTGAGTCCCAGCACAGTCTCAAGTGCATGGAGGAGATTCCAGGAGACAGACAGTTAATCTAGGAGAGCTGGACAGGGCTGTAGGAGGTCCTTAACCCTCTGGAGTCTAGGGGTAGGGAACACACATTCACTGGGGCTGGGGCATGATCACACATTTCTTTCAATATCATAAAATTAATTAATGGCAAATAAATTATTTGTTATATATATTTTTTGCCATTACACTCATCTTTATTTTAATGTACTTTGTAAATATGTCAGATTTATGTTAAGTTTGTAAATTTACATCTAAGTATAGACATTTCAAAATGCAGTTTGGAACACTTGCAGAAACATTATAAAAGTACATAGTTAAGCAATGGTGCCAGTTTGTTTTGATCCCAGATATCTGATCACCAAAGTCTTGGGTGCATGACGATGACTAAATGGTGTAGTTGCAACATTCAGTTGGATAAAAAAATAAGAAAAACCTAACTCATGTCCCTATTTCTGGTCTTCTTCCATTGAATATGTAGGAACTCTCATGTGTATGCATGAGCCATTCACACTTGGCCACATCCCCCCCCTCCCTTTATGGCGCTGATGGGGATGTATCTGGATCGCCTTTCACAGTTGCGTTTTTCATTAAATTACCATGCAAATTACATAGGCTGTACTTTAGGGAAAGTCCTTTTAAGTATTTATATTGTTTGTTTCAGACCACACAGATCCAACAGTATACAGACAGGTACAGAGTCATGCCTCAAGTTGTATGGAAGTTAATAAATCCTCACCAAAGAGCAAGGATCAGTCGTGCCCTGTCCTAAGTGTTCTTATCGACACCCCATGGCAACAAACTCCACCTGAACTAGTGCAGAGCCTCACCTACAGTGGCTATTTAGAATGCGAATAGCGTTCTTCAGGTGAGGGCAGCACTACACGCCCCAATGCAGGTAAAACAAAGTAAGGTGACATGGTTTACTTTCTTGCCGATTTAACCTAATTTTAAAAACTTTAATACTTCGAACAATGGACGTTTTGAAAAGAAGACAGAGTACGGATTTAGTCAGCATTTTTTTCATGTTTCTACAGTAAGATTTCAGCAGGACCGGTATCTGCACCTTTGTCAAAGGTGGAACAGGATGAGCATTGCCAGAGTCCTACAAAATGACCTACAACAGGGCACTAGTTTCAATGTCTCTGACAAAACAATCAGAAACAGACTTCATGAGGGTGGCCTGAGGACCCGACGTCCTCTAGTGGGCCCTGTGCTCACTGCCTGGCACCATCAAGCTTGATTGGCATTTGTCATAGAATGCCAGAATTGGCAGGCGCAGCACCGGTGCCCTGTTCCTTTCACAGATGAGAGCACGTTCACCCTGAGCACATGTGACAGACATGAATGGGTCTGGAGAAGCCATGGAGAACGTTATGCTGCCCATAATATTGTTCAGCATGACCGGTGTAGTGATGGGTCAGTGATGGTCTGGGGAAGCATATCCTTGGAGGGATGCACAGACCTCTACAGGCTAGACAACAGCACCTTGACTGCCATTAGGTATCAGGATGTATGGATGCAACGATTAAGCGATTTCACTATTAACCGCGCTTTAATTCGTCATGGTTAATTAATCAAAAAGGCTTCTCAACACCGCGTTTCTGTTGCACGGAACAAAACTGCTGCAGCTAATCAAAGGTATGTCAACTGTGCGCTAGTTTAAAGTTCTGAGCTCATAAGAGACCAAGGCTAATACGCACGTGCACTTGATTAACTATGGCTGAAGCATCTAGCAGCAAAACTCTTTTTCCTCCAAAGAAGCGCCTGAAGTCGGCAGTGTGGGGGTAGAAGCAGGAGGGTGGACAGAGTACGTGACAGGAAAATATATCTGCAAGACATTAAGCAACTGCAAGAAGATAGACAGTCTAACACCTATAACCACAAAAGTTATATTTACGCCAAGTATGCAATTAGGTTCTGAGAACACCTGCAAACAACAAGGGTTCTAAGAACTTAGAAATAAGCT